TAGATTAAGCGTTAAAGCAGGAATAAGTATTTATGCGCCCCCAAAAAAAGGATCGTGCAGACTTCTAATAAAACTAGCAGAACCCTCGGAATCATGTGAACCATCTAATGATTATGATAATTTTGTCGAAATAGAATTAATTCCTTAAATATCAAGCAATCTAATGAATATTGCTGAATAAGTAAAGAAATGGGCCAAGTCAAGGAATTGTGGTTGAGACGTGGTGTTTGTTCTTCTTGGAACTATGCTGAGGACACCGGAAAAAGAGTCGGCTTATGATTGTGTGTGTAATTTTTGTCATCGAAATAGACATTTTGGATACGTTAACAACGTGAACTGAAGTGTCGCGTCACTAAAAACGGTAAATCAATTTGAATAATGTAATGTAATCGCAAAACTTGGATTTCATCATATTCACGGAGTTTTGTTATAATATAATAATTTATTTGAGAGTGCACAATTTCTCAACTTCTGCGCATGATTACCCTACAGAATGGGTAATCTTCCGCAGATGCATGGATCTACAATTTATTGTTTCACATAGTTTTATTTAGTTTCTCACAAACTATGTTGTTACCTTACGAAAATGAAATTTATGAAGCATTCATATTACGGATAGCTCTTGCATAAGTGCTCACGATTCCTCGTTTTCCTCTAAAAATATTGCATTTTCAAAAACAGTTCGCATGTAAATCGATACAAAATTATAAGTACATTTGAAAATGTTTTATAATATGGTGAAATGTATTAATTAATTCAAAATTGCCGGAGAGTCGAAAGTGTTTCCCTCAGATAGGCATTACAAAAATGAAAATAACCGGTTGAAATATATGTTTGAAAAATTATTGGTTACTATTTATAATGAGGTAAACAATATTGTAAATAAAAATTCTGTAAATGATGTGATTATTGTGCATGAAAACTACATTTATTTACTTTTTTTATGTATCTTCAAAACAGTAAAAACAATGTGTGCACTTATTGAAATTAATTAAACTAATGTTCCAGTCTAATTCATTCACTAGTGGTTATATACATTATTAATATAGTAATTATTATACAATTAGAAATTGCTGATAATTTGAAAATAATTAGCGTGTTCTCACCGTTTATTGCACTATCAGTTGCCTTCTCAAGGAGATTAAGCATTGTGAATCGCTGCCGCTGCATTGCGATTGGGCCTATTTCGTCCACGAGAAGTGCTAGGGATCTGAAGAGGGAGGGGTGTGCTGGTGTGGAAGTGGCCGCGTAGGCTGGCCGAGTGGGCTGGCCGAGTGGGCTGGCCGAGTGTGCTCGTGGACGCGTGGGCGGGGCAGGCTGGATCCCGGCGCGGGAGAACGAATCGGGAGCGGCGGAGCTCGCGCTCGGAGAAAGTCGCCTTGCCACGACTCAGCTCCACGTGCCACGGCCCTACGCGACTAGACGCGGCCGCTGCCCTTCCAACACGTGCGCTTGCGAAGCCCCGGCGCTCACGGCATGCCGCCGGAATATCTTTCTAACGGATGCTCAGGTCGAAGCGAGGTGCGGCTTGTCACGAAATTCGCTTTTCAGTTTGTTTCGAAATCCAGAATTTACGTTAAAATATTTTCTAGATGAGTAGAAAATAGCCCTGATTACCTTTGTTACAAGGCAAACATATGTTTATGTTTGTTTGTTTTTAATTAACCGTACGGTGAATTTAATGTGTGGATCGTAACTTCGACTTTCTGAACTATTTTTTAAAATTTATATTATTAATAATTTTGGAAAGTGTCAGAAGAGAAACAGTAAAAGTGAATGAAAAAGTTGGTGCCACATGCAATATAATTCAAATTTTTCAAGCCAAATAAAGTAACATCCATTTTTTAAATATATTTTTATCCTTTGACAATGGTGTTTTTATATAGGAAATAGGGACATTACGACATTCAGTTGAAAGATGAGCTATATAATTAAATATCATGTCAGTGCCTCTGAGTATAATTCATTCCTTCATTTCAATTTTCAATTTTAATTTATATGTCAATTTTAGTTGTAGTTTTTTGCTGTATTTCAAACTTCATTGGGATGTATTTTCAAACGATTTTGTCGCTATTGTAGCAAAGTACACTACTTTTTTGTAAATAATTTTAAATGTTAGGTACATATGAATTTTAAATGTTAGGTACACATTAATCTTGTGTCACATTATGACACTGTTTTTACTCTGGGCTGTAGAAAGTGAACGATATTTAAGTTTATATTGTAAATCATCTATTATATAATTAATTCGCTATTATATTTTTTAAAACAAACTGTTTTTGTATATATCGTTAATTTAAGAAACGCAATAAAAAATTAGCTCCTAGTTTAGGTCTTAGAGGGCTTTGCAATTACGTGGCTGACTTGAAGCCATTTTAGTGGACTATTGAATCTAGCGCTGTTAATTATATCGCGCGTATTCCACGTTTCCGCGTCCGTTGGGCGGGCGAGCGCTCCCGAATTAGGCCTACAGGGCCGGGAGCTGCGCTGCAGGCGGCTGCGCCGGGCTTCGACGCGGGGACCGCGGCGCGTGAGCGCGTGGCACGCGCTGGGGTCCAGGGTTCCGGCCGCGACCCTGCCAGCGCGCCGCCCGACGTCCCACCTCCGGGCCCTCGCCCAGCGCACAGCCTTGATGGGGTCACGCCATAACGCCACACGTATTAGGCGCCGGCGATAAAAGCGGAGTAAAAAGCGTGCAACTCCTTAAACCCGGCCTGTGAATCGTTGGGGAGTTCCCTTTACCGCCTCTGACCTACTAAAAAGTATGGATCCTTTTTTTATCGGCCCGATGCAAAAAGGTCGCACCTCTCTGCCATCGAGCCAACCCTATTTGCTTACACCTGTGGTGTGTAGCATGGTGTGGTCGGACAATGTCTCGTGAACCAGTTCAAATGGAGGCGAAGTTCCAAATATGTTGAGTTCTAAAGAAATAGTACATATTTTGGATAATTTGAAAATATCTCATTTATTTAAGAGAAACAATTCGTCAAAAATACATTTAGGGACTCAACTCGAATTATATCAAATTTGAGCAGTAATTCAATAATGTTTCAAGTATATTTTATGTTGGGTTGAAACTTCCTAATTTGATTTCATTCTTGCTTTATTCTCTAATTGGGCGGAGTTTTATTAGTGCCCTAATTCAGACATAATATGTACTGTTTAGTTGTAAAAACGAATGTATTCTGTACTAAATATTGTAGGAGTGTGTCTCTTATGTTGTTTCGAGAAAAATTAATCGTCAATTTTTTTTCTTTCGACAGGAGATAATTCCACGGTTTAATTTAAATGTTTATTATGACAAGATACTATTTCTTATAGTAGGAATATTTATCTCTAGCTTCAAGAAAATATACGCGATGAAAATATCTCCTAAACGCCACTTTTGCTGCTACACGCAGGTTTTACACATCTTGCAACAGTGAATTTTCTGTGGCATATAAATATCAGCTTCTGGGAGGTCCATCATTGCACTTCTGGGAGGTCCTCCCTTTTATTCGCAGCTTTTGTGCTTCTGAGAGGTCATTGTCTCCTCTCCTGCTTACTTATAGTGTAGAGCTCTCTCCTACATTTACGAGCTGTAGAAGTTAACTATTCTGGTCGTAAAATACGGAAACATATGTCTAGAAAAGAAACTCCATCGCAAATGAAAGACGGAGCTCTAAGGTGCGAAGAAACCGTACAATTAATACTCAGATACTCAAAAGATATAATCAGTCAGTTGTATGAGTTGAATGCATTGGTTTTATTTCATTGTGCAAATAGAATAATTTTTTCATCAAATAAATAATTTAGTAATTAGATATATATCTAGATAATATATTATCTAAAAGAATCTCAACAAAACGCTTGTATCGGTATTTCGACTGTTGATATATTAATAACAGAAGACAAAATTTTATTAGGATTCTGTTTCCTAAGTAAAATTTTAAAATGATAAAATTTAGAAATACTTGTCTGCAAATCAAAAAAAGTATAAGTTTTCTAGAGATTGTATGATAACTATCAGCAGCATTTGCTAATTATAAAAGAAAACGGTGTTGTAGGAGAAATGAAGCAGAATTAGCTACCATCTCGCTTTGGGACTTCTAGTTCCTAGTATTCATGACCATTGACTATCGTCATTATTGATCATTGAAGTGCATTGCTCTCTATGACATCTGTGTGTGCTGTGTACTAGTGAGAAGACTTGCATTATCCTCATGAATCCACGTCCTGGTGTATAAATCGGAAACAATTTTTACGGAGACTGACTCCTTCATTGTAAAAAAGAACTCACATTTACATGTCTGGGTCCGTTGACCGGACTTTACTTTCCTCGATGGAGGTAAGGCCAGGTCAACGAATAAATCTGGATTTTTAAAACTAGGTTCAACATTCAAATGGAATTAATTTGTGCTAACGTGGTTTCTGAGGTCTGGAGTTTTTAACTTACATTAGAATGCAAGTAAAATGACATGATTTTTAAAATAGTGTGTTTAATTTTAATGTGTAAGTATTAATTTTAATGTTCATCTATGTTTGAGGGAGGAACGAACTGAGGTCTTTAAATCATTGTAAAGAACTCTATGAGCTGTTTTAAAACGAGACAATATATCACATTCACATGAGGACGATCATTTCATGATCTCCTGTATTTTTAATCTTGTTTCAGGCGTTTGAGCCTGACCCGTGATTCGCTTGTAATAATTTCATTGCTAATGGTTGGCACTTCGCCTCTCTCGAACATTGGTCTTTCTTGAGATTAAGTTCCTAATTTAATTCTAGTTGAATATGTTTGCAAAATGATCGTACCAGTATAATGTTAGAGCTAGGTAGCTAGTAGAGAGTTTCAATCGCTTTGTGAGCAAATGATTAATGTGTCGGTGCCTGCTTTTCCCCCACTTCGTCGCCGCCCCTGGACGATGTCGCCGGCGTCGCCACCGCCACCATCACCACTACCACCACCACCACTACCACCACCACCACCTCTACTGCTGCGCGGCCGCTGGCCACCGCAGATCTTCATGCACAAGTCTGCGATGCAAATGCACGCAAGAGATGTGATGCACCGCAGCGAGGTGAAACCGCACCAGTGCCAGCAGTGCCTCAAGTCGTTCTCGTCCAACCACCAGCTGGTGCAACACATCCGCGTGCACACGGGCGAAAAGCCCTACAAGTGCTCGTACTGCGACCGCCGCTTCAAGCAACTCAGCCACGTCCAGCAGCACACCCGTCTGCACACCGGTGAGTAGACGCAGGCGCTGCAGCGCCCGGCGCGCGCGGGATCGGGGATGCTGGGGTCCACGTGTTCTCACCGAGGGCTGAAAGACTCGCAGGGGGCCAACTAATCATTGTTCTTCGTCTTAGCGGCGAGCTCTGCACAACGAATCCCTTCGACTTGAAGACTTGACGGTGAGGGTGACGTTAACAGACGATTCGCACGTACCTGAACAAACTCGACGTGTTCGACTTCATTTGAACCACAATAATATTCCAGCTTTGCTACAAATAAATAAAAATAGCCTATATCTCAGCATCGTAAATGTTAAAAATGTAGACTCACGATTCGGTAACAAACGACCTGTGAAATGAATTTATGTGGATGCTCATTTTCTGAGTGGTACATTTATGTTGTAATATAATTAGACGAGCATCGTACATGTATCACTAAGAAACACACTACGACGACATCCTAATGACGATAATGTTAAGTATACAATCTTATGTTACAAATGCATATTTATCTAATAGTGTTCGATGCTGAAGTTATACTTAGAAAATTTAAATTTATTGCCTGCACATTTTAATAATTCGCTGGAAGGTGTCTTCTCTTAGTGTGTAGACAGTTATGAAAACAGGCTTTAGGACGTATGTTGCTATGCTTTCAGAATTAATACCTCATTTTTAATAGCACCTCCCATTGCTCGTGCCAAGCAATAGCTGTTCTTGTCACATATTGCCGATAGTTTTAGAAGTGTTAATTATGAAGAACACACTAGGCAACGCTGTGTCTTTTCTCTAGGAGGGGTAATAGCAAAAATTAAATGTTTTTGCCTTCAAAATATTTTCAGGGACAAAACTAGAAATAAATTCCCCTGTTTAGGTTGTTGCATTTCTGTAGCCTCTAAATAAAGACGGCTAGCATTTTTTTCATGACGAGCGTCTACCAAGACCTGCAGACAATTTTTCATTTCCAGGACATGAAATCGATAAATTCTTTCCGATTCTGATTTCAAAGACTCTTCCTCTGCTTCTTGAGAATTGATCCCGTGAGTTATTCAGAACGAAATTGATTTCATCACAGAAAATTATTACATAATGGGCCCGACCGCTGCCCTCCGCCACCGCCGCCCCGGAGAATCTTCATCCACCCAAATTCTGGCTGAGTTCCGGAGTTAAGCGCGGCGATGACATACGAACACGAAAGCCGGCGAGCGCCGGTCGGGCGTGTTTGTCGATGGAGAAGAAGAATAAAAAAGGAGGCGGAAAAGAAGTGAGGATTTGATAGGAGCGAGCGGGGTAGCTTCGGTAAGGACTCCTCGTCCACGCCAATTACAGAGCCGTGAGCGCCGCCCGGCCCGCCCCTAATGACACGCGCGGGGCGGGGCTGAATTATGGACAGGGCCTAACGGGGAGTAATGAAAGGCTCGTCCCCGAAGTGACCTCAACGCCGAAGGAGCTCGCCGCGAGATCCGACAAATAATTCACCGGCGATCTTCTGCCGCCAGCGCGCCCGTGCCCTACGGCTCCTGCCTCCAGTCCGGGCGTTTCGCTCGCCAACTGCATCCTAATAAGCATCTCCGCGCCTTACGCGTGATAAAAGTTCTGATAAGATAACGTCCTAAGAGGGATGCAGACACAAACTCTGAAAAAACATAGATTTGGTGGAAGTCTTTTTTATTGTAATTTTCGTAGCTCGTTGTTGCGGGGCACTATGTAACTTCAAGTAATTTTCGTTCGCCTTTATTATTTACGTATCTAGTTTCAATATGTGTGTTGTTAGATCACACCCAAAAGGTTGACACACATTGCTCTGCCAATCTTTATTTTCAGGTATTGCCTTCACTACTTTTACAAGTTGATATTTACACTCCACCTCCTTAATATAATAGATACATCTAATACAATAAAGTAAATTAATGTAGTAAGGCCATAAGTAAATAACGTCATACCTATATTTTTCTAATAATCCCAGTCTCGGTTATAAAGCGTCTGTAATTTTTTCTACCCTCCCTATGTACAACGCGCGAGAGTCGATTTAATCGACACGCTCAAGGCAATGTAAGTGGTATGTGTTTATAACATAAAAAAACTTCAACATGTGAGTGATAAGACCTTCTCCGTGTACGAGGAAAACACGCTCAGATGGCGGAGGGCAGACGATCTCTCCCGCTTGAAGGCAGCGCTTGTGATCGAAACCCGCAAGCAGAGGAGGAGCATCTTTCAGTAGCTTCATTCGACCCTGCTAATTAGAGGGTGGTGGCCCCCCCGCCCTTGCTCGACTACGGTGTCTCCAACCGTAGGTCCTGCTCTGTTATGAACATTGATGTATGTGTCTGCGGGGACAGAGTCGTTTTCGAGATCCGCCCACCACGCCACAAACTTCCCTACTCTTCTGTCCTTCCGAGTTGTGCCGCCGCCCACTGACCAAATCGCCTTAATTTTTCCCGAAAACGATCTCTTGGTTAGTATAATCACGCTCTAGTATGAAAGACCTTGATGCTAAATTATGCCATCTCTCGAATTACTAAATAAATATTCTCATTCAGATTTCTCTGAAGGACATGAAAGATTTAAGAATGCCTTGCCAGACCGCTAAACAATGGCCTCCCAATGTCTAAACGACTTCGGAATAAAATAATTACTATCTTATAAAAGAACAGGCTGCATGGCATTCGGCTATGTTATTTTCTTCTTCATAAAATAGGCAGCTACCGCAGAGCTGGAGACTTGGTGAAAGTGTAAATACAGTACTTTCACGGTTTAGCCAAAGTATAGTATACTTAATGGCACTTGGCTAATAGTCTTTAGCTGTGCGTAGGATACCACGGTAACCATTTTACATTTGAATTATTTTATTGCGCAAATTCACAACGGTATGTAAAATAATACTGGCTTACAAAAGATTTTTTTCGTGGAAAATAAGCTCTATCGGCGTGTGGTAGATGCTCTCGCCATGCAGATGATAATATATGAATGTGGCCCAAGGATAAAATTTTCACTCTTTTGAAGCATAGAATATGAGGTGTAATTTTGGATTGACCCTTGTTGTCACGAACTGTTTTGCAAAAAATTCCAAATGAAGTTCAGGCCAGAAATTTTCTATCATCCTCATATATTGCGAGCTCATTGAGCGGCAATATTTTTCGTTCGTGCGCCAAATTAAACTGAATTACTCTAAAAAAATTGTTCGTAAAGAATGGCTTGCACATCAGCACAAACGTTCTAGGGCGAAGCAAATATTTGTCATTATTGGCGCCGCATGTATTTTAATCGAAAAAAACAAAACCTCGATTTCCGTTGAATAGCTTCATTTCGCAGCTTATCCCGCGATTTCAAAGATGGCTCTGTCCCCCTCCGCGCGGAGCGTCACCTCGGCGGTGGCGAGGGCGGCGGCGGCCGCAGGGACTCGGAGGGAGGGTCCCCGGTTCGAATCCCGCCATCGCGGCGCGCGCAACCACCCCTGCTCGGACGGGTCGTAGAGGGGAGGCAGCGCGCCACCGCGCGGGCTCGACCAGCATGGCCGCCGCTGACGATGACTGCGCCAGCCAATAGCGTTGATGATTCCGCTGATGATGATGACGATGACGACCAACCAATACGAATGATTTTCATTTCCTCTGGCATTCCGACGTTTGTTTAGGCCCGGCTACTCGTTTATGTTATCCCTCCCCCTCCAGCCCCCCCTCTCTCTCTCGCATTCGCGTGTCCTCACGCTCTTTCATCTCTGTCACTCGACCAGAGAGAGAGAGAGAAAGGGAGGGCTCTAGCGCATCTGTCTCCGTCGCCCACCGCTTGCTCTCTCGCTCGCACCCGCGCTCTCCGTCCCTCCAGCGCATCTCGCTCTCGGAGCGCGGCCCGCACGCTCACACGTGCACAGGAACGCGCGTACACACGCACAAACGCAGCGACGCACATTGCGCCCCGGCAATCGAACCAGGAACTCCGGCGTGCAGGGTCGGTGGTTTGGCGGACGGGTGGGTGGTTGGGTGGCTGGGTGGTCGGGCGAGCGGTCGGCTGGTCGGGCGGGCCGCGCGCGCAACACCACCCCCTTCGTGCGCCCTTCCCTCCCTATTCATTGGAAAGCAATGCAGAGTGATTTTTAATTCGAAATGAATAATGGCATGAAGGAGGGTGGCTACCTCCGGCGCAGTGGTGCAAGAGCCGGCCTGCAGCGTCCGCTCGGGAGTTTCTTTTCCAACGGCCACCGGTTCGATGCCCCGCAGTTTAAATCTTCCGCGTGTCAAAGGATGACCGACTCGGGTTGGTTGTCGTCTATCTGTGGCCTCGATCGTTTCGAGATAAAATATTCAGCTCCACGGGAAATTCTATCAGATTTGCGAGAAAGCGTTTGTGAATAAAAGCGTGCTTTCCAGCTCTGACTATTAGAGTTAAACTTAATTGCTGGAAGCTTTTTCTAAAACACTGTCGAGAGTTGAGAATATAGGCTGGGTAATTTTTAAAACCGACTCCAAATGATAAAGTACGATGCCATAAAAAATGTTATTTCCCACTCCTCTGGTTGACCTCTCTAGAGAAAGAAACTCTCTTTGACTACAAAATTAATTGTTTCTCATTCTTCAAAATTCTGAGGCGAAGGCCGGAGTGAGCGGGACACCGGCAGTTAAAAATTATGGAAACGAAGAAGATGGCACAGAAAAAGTTCGTATTCTTTTCAGTTTGGAATCGTTACCATCATTTGTACGGCGCCGGGACGCTGGGGTTGAGCGGGGGCGAAGTGGCAAGACGGAGGACGGGGG